TTTGCTTATTAATTAGTTTTTATAAAGATTTAATAACGTTTTAAATTTTTTTATAAATAAGTAATACATACTTTCTACAAACAAATGAATTTCTACATACAAAACTAACGATTGTGATTTAGTGGTTATAATGCTCCGCAAGTTTCTAGGAGCCCTAGTTCAAGTATTAATTAATTTTTGTCCAGAATTATAAAAATATATTTTTGTTGTGAATAGAGAAGAGATAAAAGGAATTGATGTTATCTTACTCTAATTAATAGGTGGTTCTTTATATATGAGTACAAAGAGAGGGTTTTACTTGGTAACGAAGTAAAACCTAGCTTACAAGTAACTCTACAACCTTCTAGAAGATGGGACTTATGAGCTTATAATGGACATCACATAACAGTTCATAACACTCCCCCTTGATGTTCATTATACAAATTATTCTTCAAAGTGTGTAGGATGATGCCTCGTTAAAAACCTTGCTAGGAAAACCAGTGGAAATAACCATAGCTAAGGGAAAAAGTGTGCAGTGCACATTAAATCCCCTCATGACTACATCACTTGATACCTTTGAGATGACGCAATCCATTATGACTTGAAATAACTTCTTGAATTAACACCTTGGTAAATCTGTCTGTCGAATCTTCCGTTTTAATGAACTTGTAGGATACATATGTAGCCATTCTTCTGCAATGCATCACTCTTGATAATGATTCGTCTTGACCATTCTCTTTACTTGATCTTATTAAAGTATGACAAATAATTTGGAGGGGTGATAAACTTTCATCTTTACATTTCTCTTTAGATGTCTATCATTTGTGTGTTCTTTGTTGCCTCGTTAAAACTTTTCATGGAAAAACCCAATGAGATAAAAACCATGATAAGGAAAAAGAGTACAACCACACACATTAACATAATTCTCCCCCTTGGAAGTATCTTCTTCAGGAGATGGATTCCAATCACATATACCATCTTTTGGCAATCATTATAAGTATAAGCTTAATGAATAAACTCATATAGTTATCTTATAATCGTTTAGGGTATCAGACTTCTTGGCCATAACAACCTTTTCATATAAACAACCATTTCTTGGTCTTTTGAACTTCAAGTCCAAACTTCATTTTACTTACAACATCTTCAACTTCTATAGAACATACTTAACTTAAGATATTATTCATGCTCGTCTTTTTTTTGTTTAGCTTTATTTTTGTTATACTAAATCATATCTTTCAATCATGAAATAGATAAATATATTGCTCAACTAGCAATTTAAGTATTATACTTAGGATAAAAAATATTGTGAGAATTCTTTATGTAAAATCCTACAAGGATCATTTGAGATAGTATCTCTATCACTTAGACATTTCAATTTGGAACACTTGAAGACGATGTCGTATTCCCAAAGACTTTTCTTCCAAATTACAAGTTGAGATTACTCTTCAAGAGTTTCCATTATATTATAATCTAGGATCCCATTGATTCATAATCCTTTAGTACATATATACGGTTATATTGGTTAACCTTATAATATTCGTTTATACCACACAAAACTTTTTTGTCCTAATTCGATCGAATAATTAGAATCTTCAGGAACATAATTTTGACAATCTTAATCCTTTGGGAATTTGTACCCTTCTGGGATTTTTGTTTAAGTTTCATTATCCAGTGGGTAGTATAAGTCAAGTTCTTCTCTTATTGCCTAAAATTGGTAAAGAAATTGAAAGTAGTTGCATCCACCACAAAAGAGTTTGTCTCTTCATATTTAATTTCACATTTATCATTCTTTCATATAAAATTTCTTTATATCTCACTGGTTTTACACCCTTAGGTGTATGGACAACTGGTCCAAATACTCATCTCTTTCCAAGATATTTTAACTTTATGACTATTGCTTCTTTATAATTTGGCCAAACATTTCTTTGTGTACACTTTGCAATAGATTTTGTGATCCTCTTTCTCATTTATTATGTCAACAACTACATTGCATGCAAAATTATTTACGACGTCGATTTGCTTTTCTGTTCCATTTTATTCTACACAAGACATAACTTGTTGAGATCAATCTCTTTATTGTCTCAGGTACCTGACTTTCTTTCTTGTCATGTTTAATGTCTCTTCTTGATATCATTCAAAAATTTATCTCCTCAGTCTGACCATTATCAATGGAGATTTATATGCAACATATATTCTCAATCTCATTTGAGGATCCATCTTATAACGTTGTGGTGGAGCAATGTGGATATATACTGCACATCCAAATCATTAAATGGAAAATATTTTGTTTCTGACCCAAAACCATATTTGATGGGAGAACTTTGATTACTTGCTGGCTTTACGCGAATTAATACTTTTGGATTTTATGTATGAACATTTTCTATTGGATGTTCAATATTTATCTTTATGCTTGTATAATCAGAGGCTTAAGACGTGAATTCACTAACAATTTTTCATAAATTTGCTTAGATTAATGTAAAAAACTTGGAGATCTTTTATTATTAAATACAAGTTATTCATATAGATGATGGAAGAAAAATAAATATTATATAACTATATATATATATATATAAATGAAAGCATATTAAAAAAAAACAATAAATATCAATAAGATGTATCATCAATATCACTTCAGGTGACAATTTGAATTGCTTTTGAAAAAAAAATCAAACAGATAATATATAATTAAAAAATACTATTCTATTATGTCTGCAGGCCAACAATATTTACACATTTATATAAGTAATATTATATCCACTATATTCACTTATTGACTTCTTTTTGGTCAAATCATGTGGTTTCCACTATATTCACTTATAGACTTCAAGTTATGTGGTTTTAGATGTAATCATGTATTTTAAGTTTGGTCATATCACATTCTGGTGATCATGTATTTTCTTTATATTGCTCTATATCAATTATTTTTTCTTAAAATCATTAAAAATGTAATGCCAGATAAATACAATCATAAAAGATATGATCTACACATATAATATAAATAAAGATGATAAAGTCATAAAATAACTTAATCAATAAATCAGCATTGATCAGTTTATTTCTATCATGATATTAATTAGATTTTCAAATAATCAATTCACCAAAAAGAAATGAAAAATCATATGATAAAATATGTGTATATTTCGTGATCATGTAAATAAACAAGTATTGATGCAATAGTGCAAATCCCGTGAAAACATACAAGCACGATGCAATAGTTCTGTGCAAAAATCGGGATATATGTGCAAAACTCGTGTAAAATTCGGAGAATCATATATGTGCAAACTTCGGGTTAACAATACTTAAAACAGAAACTAGTGCAGACTTTAAAACAGAAATCTAGATCTGAATAATGACATAATAAAACACATCCGTGAAAAGTTCGTGTAAAAAAAGATTCTGTACAAAAACAATATGGAAAATAATTGATTTAATGAATTTGTGGAGGAGCAATATGGAGAAATATTTGATTTTAATGAATAAGATTCAGTTTAACAAATTTCATGCAAATCATGTGCAGAAATAATATAAGCAATATATGATTTTCATGAACAATATTCGATTTGTATATTTCGTGCAAACTATATGTAGAAACGGAAAAAATATATTTGATATGCAAATCATGTGCAGAAATATGAATAAGGACATAATTATAAATATCATGCAAAAATATATTAGTATAAACATGTGATTTGAATCTCTACTAGAGAATTTATCATAACAACATTTATAAAAATAAAAATAATAAACATGTAAGTTGAATCTCTACAAGAAAATTCATCATAATATTAATCATATAAATCTCTTCAAGAGAATTTATCTAACATATGATCCTAAACTGCCCTAGACGCTGACACACGCCACGCTAGCTCGGCTAAACCACTCCCGCGTACTGTTCGCGGGTAGTTGGTGAGCTTCCCCAAACACGCAAGAATCATCATCCCACCTGCTCCCCTGACGCGCCGGATGGAGAGGACAGGAAGAGGAGACTACTAGTATAAAAGGAGAGAGATCACCGTACTAGAAGTGGGGGCTTGGATCTGAAACCCCTCTCAAGGAGGAGGTAACCGACCAAAACCAAGTGAATTGGCTCCAGCAAGCAGCATGATCTAGGGAGAATTCTTTGTTCTCCCGAGTGAATGCCTTCCAGGATAAGTCCCTCATGACCCAGAACCATGCATTTATACTTGCCACATCTTCTCCCTTCTCTATAGAATACCACTCAAAACTCCCGCAAACAGATAGATGTCTCGATCCTCGGACGAGATTTCTCACCTCAAACCCGTAGAAATACCCCCCCCCCCCCCCCCCCCCCCCCCCCCCCCCCCCCCGAGTAGTTGTTCCCGGTAGGACGATCATTGACTTGGGCATCACATAACTTTCGGGAAGGAAACTCTCTTCCGGTCTTCCCGAAAGCCTGACTGACCTCTTGTGTAATGTTTGCAGGATCGCGTACTTCGACCATCCCGTTTTCAGGACTCGAGCAGGCTTCCGCCCCGGAACGACTTGTCGCCTTTTCTCCCGGAACGACTTGTCGCCTTTTCTCCCAGAGGTCGAAACTCAGAGGCACGTCTCTACTTTCCGGACGAATCACACACCTCCACGTGGCTCCCAAAATGTGCTCCCGAACAAATATATAACAATTAGATAGTTCTTTAGTGGTTATATGCCTTTATAAATTTCATGAACACTAATTCGACTATCACTTAGTTTTTAGAAAATTTTAAAAACATCTTTTTAAATCTTAATAAACTAATCCATAATTTTTAAAAACAAATAAATTTTTACACAGAACATTTAGATGTGATTTATTAGTTATACATTTTTACATAGATCAATTAGGTATGGTTTAGTGGTTATACTTGCAATTCTTTGAAATCACTAATTCAACAATTATTTAGCTATTATAAAAAATTTAAAGGCTCTTTTAAAATATTTATAAATAAGTAATACATCATTTGATTATATCCAAATCAATATTTGATACATTGTCTGCAACAACAACAAAAAATTACTTTTTCCGCCTAGAGGGCAATTGTTCCAATAACTCGTGTGATGGTGTGAGTGTTCCAATCAAGAGCTAATCTTGCAAGACCAAAGCCAGAAACCTACAAAACATGAGAGAACAAAATACTGGTAAAGCCACCATGTAACTGAAAACCTTGAAAAGCTAAGAACAGTAGAGTAATACATACCCGAGCATCAAAAATATCCTCTAAAAATGTTAGATGACTTAATGTCTCTGTGTATGATATGCAGATGACCTAACAACAGAACATATAATAAGAATAGCTAAATGGTTTTAGAGGTTACCACTAAGACATTAAATAACTCATCTTTAATTATCATTCATTATGGAAATTAGCATCCAAAGCAAGAAAATATGATCGAAAAGTTTTAAGATTACAATCTTCATGGAGATAAGGTAGTCCACAGCTGCACTAGCAGCGATTTTAACACGTGTTGCCCAGTCCAGAACTTCTTTGGATGCTGATTAGAAGATGGAGTAGATAATGTAAGTACCAGTTATGTGGATTATAATCTTTGGATAATGTTTTGTACTTACAATGAAGGTGGAAGTAGAGGTCGATGTTAGAGACATAATCATAAATGAGCAATCTACCATCACCGGAGATACAATGCCCCATGATAGAAACCAAATGCCTGTGATGGATTATGCTAAGTGTCTCAACTTCGGATTTGAACTCATGGTCACCTTGTCCTTCACCAATCTTTAGATGTTTCACAGCAACCACTCTCCCCATCAGGTAATATCCTTTGTATGCACAACCAAATTCACCTTCACCTAATAGATTCTCTTGCGAAAACCCGTTTGTTGCATTCACAAGCTCCTTGTTTCTTGGGTTTGCGAAATAAACCCATTTGCAAAAATCTGTTTGGCCTGCAAAATAGCTAATAGATTCACTTCCACTGTTGTATTGGTCAATTTCAAATAAATCATATCGGTTCTTAAGCTAATTATATAGTAAAATCAGTTTAATTGGATGATTGATTAAAAATTTAAAAGGAGGTATTTTGAGAACAGATCTTGAAAACTAAGCTCTTGTCGATCCTATCAGATTGATGATTGGATGCATAATCTTTGTTGGAAAGATTTCTAGCAGCCATGATTGCACCGACGATGGCATCACTGAACATATCATAATTAGATCATACATTACCGATCTTAACAATAGGAAAACAAAATCACATCAATAAAGCAGTAGGAGCAGATAATCAAAGAGAAACATCAAAGTGTAAATCCCGAAATAAAAAATTCTGATAACGGATCAGATCTGACTCTACAATCATCAATTAATGATTGCACTAACTGTCATTTTCAATTTCTCAAACCGTTTAATACTCGCATAGACAATTAAGAACATATAATCGTGAAATCGCTAAAAGAACAAGCTATTAACCAGATCTGCCATCTTAATAAGTCCTTCAAGCCTTGAGCGCAATAACCGAGTGTGATGTCTCTGTCATCAGCTATTAGAGTAACTGAGATTGTTGGTTTAGATAAATTGGTTAGATTCATTTCCAGTTTATTCTAGTTAACCATTTCTCTTTCATATATAAGAAAACATTCATTGTAACCATTCCGTTAAGATGTGTGAATGAAATTCATAACTTTTCTCGATGTAACAAATTCTCTCATCGTTCCTCTAACATGGTATCATAGCAGTGAAATCTCCGATTTGAGTTTCCGATCTTCCTTCTTCCGCTTTCTCGACCTAGATTAATCGGATTTTCTTCTTCCGATTGATCCATTCCAGATTTATTTCCCAGAATCGAGCTTATTCCAGCTCAATCATGTTTGTTCTTCGCAGATCCACTCGGCGACCAGCTCGTGGTGGCTTTGCCTCCAAATCGTCTAATCCGGCGAGATCCTCCGTTACTCTGTCCATTCTGATGTTTCCTGATCCCAAATCCATCTATTCCTATGGTTCCGCCAACTGTGATTCCGGCTTTATCTGGTTGAGATTTTCATCTCTCAACTCCGACAGATGCTTTTGCCTTTGATGGAACTCAATATTCGCCGTATTTCCTTCCTAGCGGCAATAATCCTGGTGCTTCCATCATCTCTGAGGTACTAGATGGAACAAACTTTAACACCTGTAATATTGCTATGACTATTGCTTTGGATGCGAAGAATAAGATAGGTTTTGTTGACGGATCTCCTCCTCGACCTTTGATTTCCCATCCACACTATCGCATCTGGTCACGTTGCAATAGTATGGTCAAGTCTTGGATTCTTAACACCGTCACGAAACAGATCTATGGTATGACTTGTTGACTCGCTTTCATATCACGAACTTGCCTCACTCTTATCAACTGACTCAGGAAATTTGGTCTCTCCAGCAAGGATCCATGGATTTATCAGCCTATTATACCAAACTCAAAACTCTTTGGGATGATCTTGATGGAGAAGATTTGGTGAACACTTGTCAAGCTTGTTCTTGCTGTAAAGCAACTGCTACTAAGGCCGAACACACGAGAATCATCAAGTTCTTGGCTGGATTGAATGATTTGTATTTTCAAGCTTTCAGTCAGATCATTATGAAGAAGCACGTTCCTGATTTTGCTGGGGTTAATAATTTACTTGATCAAGATGACAGCCAGAGGCATCATTAACCCGCCCCGTAATGATTCTGCTTTCAATGTTGCAATTTCTGAGTCTATTCTGTGATATATCATGGTTTTTATGGTTTTTAACCATGATATAAGTTCTTTTTATTGAGTCTTTTTGGTATTTTTAGAGTCCTAGAAGAGTCTTTGCAGGTTATAGCATATCTGGAGCATAATTGGAGATTTTGGAACCTTTTGGAGCATTCTGAGTTGAAGCCACGAAGTACCTAGCTCGAAGAAGAAAGTATGCCATATGGTGACGCTCGTCACCAAGCTGGTGACGCTCGTCACCCACCAAGGAAGGAGGTCGTGGCCTGTTTTTAAAAGATTGGGAAGAAATTGCAGTTTTGGCCCAAAAGTTCCAGTATTTGCAAAAAGACCCCAGATCGTGTTTTAGCTTGTATATTAGGTTTTTCAGCCATTCTTTTGGCATATATCTTGTATTTTACTATTTTTGAGAGCTTTAGAGAGAGATTTGTAGCAGAGCTTTTGGAGAGACAAATCAGACTCCTTCAGAGCAGATTTTGAACTCCTTTACTTTCTACTTCTTATTTCTTTTATGCAATCTATTCTTTTCATGATGTTTTCTCAAATCACCATGTCTGAGTAGTTTGTTAGTTAAGTTAGGGCTTTTCAAAGGTTGAAGAAGAGTTTGTAGAATTGCTAAAAACTTTTAGGAAATTCATTGGTTCTTCATCTGTGCTTGCATTCATATCGATTTCTTAGACACATCATCTGGATTTCGAAACCCTAGGTTTTTGATAGATGTGAGAGCATTATTAATCACCTGAACTAGTATTAGATGAGCAAAACGCTCTAGTACAAAGAGATTTGGCTTAGGAGTTTTGTGAACAATTGAACCTGATCATTACTGCATGTTTAGGTTGTTAGGGTTTGCAAAGAGATTTGAAACTCTGTGATTTAGACATAGATAACTTCTACAATGAGAATTGATTAGTTATATCTTTGCGATTCATGTTCAAGACGGTTTTAATTCATTCCTGATTGCATGCATTCTACACTCTCGGATTCAACCTGCGAACTGTCCTGACTTAGCGCCTTTAGCCTTCTAAACTTTAAGAACAAGCATAAAAAACGCCCTCTTGCATTTATTTTACTGTTTTGCATTACATTCATTATTTATCGCTTAGCTTAATCTGAATCTATAATCGCTAGTGTGGTTTACATACTCCCTTGGGATTCGATAACCCCTTGTACTACAACTGCTTTTGCTGTGCACTTGCAGTAGTTTTATTTGGGTAAAACCTGACCCTATCAAGTTTTTGGCGCCGTTGCCGGGGAGTAATAGCTGCCTATCGATTTTTAGTACTAGGATTTTGTCTAAGTTTTTATTTGTTTACTGATTTTCAGCTACTTTTCTTTGTTCCTGTTTCAGGTGTATGCCTAATCGCAGAACCAGAAGCAACAAAGAGAAGGAGCTTGTGACTTTGAGCATCGACGAGCTTGCTAGGTTGGAGAGAACTAACAGGAAAGCTAAGAAGCAATCTACAATGGTCGCTCCACTTATCTTGGTTGAAGATGCAGAAGGTCACTTGGTTGACAGGGAAGGAAACAGGAGGAACGAAGAGGGGCAGAGAATTGATCAAGAGGGGAATGTCATTGTTGAACAGCAGGTTCAGCAAGTGGCTGAGAACGTGGGGGTCCCTGCTGCTGTCAATAACGCTGCTGGGCGTTTTGTTCAGAGGACTCTAGGTGACTACAACAGACCTGATCAGTTCTATGCCAACAGAGCTGCAATCCGACCTCCTGCCTTCCAGAGGAACGATTTTGAGGTCAAACCTGTCTACTATCAGCTGGTTGGCCAGCATCCATTCCATGGCTTACCTCATGAGCATCCTATGGATCACATTGAGAAGTTTGAGGATCTGGCTTCAAGTGTCAAAGCTACTGGAGTCAGCAATGACTTTCTGTTCTGCAAGCTTTTCCCTTACTCTCTTGGAGGAGAGGCTGCATATTGGCTGAAGCAACTGGAGCCTGGTTCATTAACTACTTGGGAGGACACCAAGAACGCCTTTCTGAACAACTTCTATGATGATGCAAGATCAGAAGACATGAGGACGAAAATTGCATCCTTTACACAAGGCCCTACTGAAGCTTTTAAGGCTTCTTGGATCAGGTTCAAGTCTTATCAAAGGGACTGCCCTCATCATGGTTTCAATCAGGTGCAACTGCTTGGTATCTTCTTCAGAGGCATTGACTGGAAATATCAGATGGCGCTGGATGCAGCAAGTGCAGGAAACTTCAACACCAACAGACCAGAAGAAGCTGTAAGATTGATTGAAAACTTGGCCTGCAGTAACAGCACTAAGAATGCAGATTTTCAGAGAAAGCAGCAGGCTGGTTTGAATGATGGAAACCAAATAGCTGAAGTTAAGGCTAAGTTAGACAGCATGCACAGCCTTTTGGTGGGAAAGAAGTCAGTCCAATTCACTGCAGAAGTGGAGAGTTTCGAAAATCCTGAAGAATTTGAGCAGAAAGATGTTAATTTCATCAATGGAGGGGGTTTTCAGAGCCAAAGGTTTGGAAATCAGCAATGGAACAGAGGCTACAACTGCAATAATCAGCAGAGTACCTTTACAGGAGGACAGAGCACGCCTGGTTACACTCCTAAGCCCCCATTCCAGAAGACTGAAGTTGAGAAACCTTACCAAAACAGCAGGAATTTTGGTTCTTCTTCCTACCAAACTGCACCTCCACAAGAAATTAAAATGGAAGCTATGCTGGAGCAGGTACTTGAAGGACAGCAGAAGATGACAATGAACTTCAATGGCAAGCTAGATTCGCTGTATCAAGACCTGAATGGAAAAATTGAGAGCCTGAACTCTCACATGAAGAAGCTTGATGTGCAGGTTGCTCAAACTGCAGGAGCTGTTCAAAGGCAAGAGGGATTCCTTCCTGGAAGGACTGATATCAATCCCAAGCATCAGGTTAATGCCATCACAGTCAGGAATGAAAAGGAGCTTAAAACAGTGCAGAAAAAGAGGTTGAGTGCAGAACAGATCGTGCAACTCATGGAGTCTGAAGATGAAAATTTTTCTGTCTCAGAGGTGAGTGACAAGCGTCACCAAGGAGGAGTGACGCTCGTCACCAACACAGAAGAGAGTCGGGGGTTGTCACAAGTGAGTGACGAGCGTCACCCCCCTGGTGACGGTCGTCACCCACCCCAGTACGAAGCTGCTTCGCCTGTAACTGCAAATTATGACCAGGAACGTGTCTATAAACCCAAAACACCATTCTCCAAGCATCCTAGGAAGTCTAAACAGGAGATAGAAGAAGCCAGATGCAAAGCTATGATAGACAAGTTGATGCTTGAGATCCCACTTGTTGATGCAGTCAAGCTTTCACCAGCTCTAAGAAGGTATGTAAAGAGAATGGTTGTGAATGGTGTAAGTCCTGAGGAAGGAGCATTGCTTACCAGAGACATCAGTGCAATTCTCTTAGGCACAGTTCCAAAGAAGAAGAAGAAGGTGACTGTT